ACACACCCCCCACACACACACACACCCCCCACACACACACACCCCCCCACACACACACACACCCCCCACACACACACACCCCACACACACACACACACCCCCACACACACCCCACACACACACACACACCCCCACACACACACCCCCACACACACACACACCCCACACACACCCCCACACACACACCCCCACACACACACCCCCCCACACACACACCCCACACACACACCCCACACACACACCCCACACACACACCCCACACACACACCCCCACACACACCCCCCACACACACACCCCCCCACACACACCCCCCACACCCCCCCCCCACACACACCACCCCACACACACACACACCCCACACCCCACACACACACACACCCCTCACCCCACACACACACACCCACCCCCCACACACACACACCCCTCTCACCCCCACACACACCCCCCACACCCCCCCCACACACACCCCCCTTACCCCCCCCACACACACCCCTTCACCCTCCCACACACACACACCCCTCTCACCCCCCCCCACACACACACCCTCTTCACCCCCCCCACACACACCCCCCTCTTCACCCCCCCCACACACACACCCCCTCTTCACCCCCACACACACACCCCCTCTTCACCCCCCACACACACACCCCCTCTTCACCCCCCACACACACACACCCCCTCTCACCCCACCCACACCCTCACCCCACCCACACACCCACCCTCTTCACCCCACCCACACACACACACCCCTCTTCACCCCCACCCACACACACACCCCTCTTCACCCCACCCCACACACACCCCCTTCACCCCCCACACACACCCCCTTCACCCCACCCACACACACACACCCCTTCACCCCCACCCACACACACACCCCTTCACCCCACCCACACACACACCCCTCTTCACCCCCCACCCACACACACCCCTCTTCACCCCACCCACACACACACCCCTCTTCACCCCACCCACACACACACCCCTCTTCACCCCACCCACACACACACCCCCGCACAGAATTAAGACAGCAAGCATGAGGAGTGAGGGTCTTATTGTATGACATACATCTGCTTGTCTGACTGCATTTGTAGCGAGTTAAATATCAGCTGTTGAGGAGCACTTGGCAAAGCTCATTTGCACTCCATCTCCTAAATTACCCAAGCCTTTCTTTTTTCTCACTCCATATTTTAAAATTGTTATGCCATAACTTATCAACTGGAATTACATTAAAGATTATTACAGGTACTCCTCGACTTACGACAACCCGGACATCCGACCGCCGTGGTCGTATAAAATATTTTTCTAATTAGTACGTATTTTTTAGTCCCGACGTTAGTGATCACACTGTGCACTGACAAAATTTTCTTTTGTAATTCACTAGCCTTTGTTCAGCTCGGTGTAAAAGTGAGAGCTCTCGTGGTGCTGAGAAGAAAAAGAGACATCCATTTTAGAATTTCTATGTATTATTTTCACCTACATACATACATAAACTTTTTAGTGTATCAAGTACCAACCCTGCTCACCCACAATTACACAAAATATCTTACTAACACACGAGTTGAGGGTAACATGCCTAAAACATATTTCACTATGCCCAACAACGCACCACTGTACATTACGCCATGCATAACAAAATGTTATGTAACGTAGTGTAGAAGGAATACAACTTTGTTCATTTATACTTATATTTGTCAGAATCTCCCTAAATTACTTCAGCTTTCGTGTTTATTCAAGACATCTTCAGGTCCTGAGACCCACTAATCCCCTACCCAAGAAAGGGTAACCTGACATTCCATCAGAAGGTCAGTAATATGAGACCACTAATCCCCCACCCTACCTCCACCTGACATTGCATCAGGTCAGGTACATGAGACCCACTAATCCCCCACAGTTCCACGAGAGTGGAAATTACTAGTCTTTGCTGTAACACAGTTTCATTCACGCCCATATCATATAGAATTTTAATTTTCAAATATATTTATTTTACAAACTTTTAGATAAACTATTCTGGATTATTATAGTAAACATATGGAGTTTCTAACTTAATTATAACTGCATTTACGGACTCCGGTAGTTTAGACTCGAGGAAAACATCCCCAGCACCCAGAAACTTTCTGCAAAAGTGGGCTAGTGTCTGTGTGTGCAAGATGTCTAGTTTAGACACTCGGAAATTTTTCCCAGTAATCGGAAAATATTCTGGGGATACGGAATTTTTATGGGTTTGAGAAAGTTGTCTGGTTAGCCGGAAATCTCATCCCCGGAAGTGCTCTGTACCAATTGTTCTGGCTAACGGGGATATCACTGTATTTTTAATTCTGGAGTTGGGTTAGGTAGAATTTAGCCTACTGGAGACAGCAAGTGGGGGATTCTTTATCTTACGTGAGACAGCAATTTCACATATAGGCTTTTTAGCTATTTTTCAGAAAAAAAAATGCCTCTTATATGCCATAAAATACAGTAAATTGAAATTACATAATGATTATTTTTTGACTGCAGGTTGAGTGCAAGTTGGAAATCAGAGTACGAGCTTTAATTGAGCTAATTTGTGATGTGCGTGCAATGGAGGCAACTGTTGTAGAGATGAAGTATGATGCAAAGAAGGCTCCTCTTGGAAAACTTACCACAGAGCAAATCAAAGCTGGCTATTTGGCACTCAAGCGTATAGATGATCTAACTAAAAGTGGAAATTACAAACAAATGGAATTAGTGCATGCTTGCAATGATTTCTATACCAGGTTAGTTTTTATATTTTTTTGTTAACTATAGTTTGCTCTTGTTTGAAACTATTTGCTTATACATCATTCAGCTGTCTTCTTTTATTCTCTCTATTTATTGATATTTTCCTTGGAAGGCAACTTCTCAGATTGCAGATAGGATTTTTATTTGTGCTGTAAGACTGCCCTTGTCACTTTCCTACTCATCATTCAGTAATTTACCGTAATATTTTCTCTGGGTACTCTTGATTTCCTCGTTATCAACAACCACTTTATCGTGGTCATTTCTCACACACTGCTCACCAACTTTTTTGTCTCGACCCACTATTATTTGTCTGGCTATTCTGAAAACATCTCATGCTTTTGCACTTCAATGTACTGTACCTGCAAATGTGCCCTGTTTATGTTGATCCTTTATTTTGGCCCAGCATTTGCCACACTATCCCTCTTACTGGATGTTTCCTGCCTTCTTTACTCGGCACTAAATGCTTCTCGTACATTCTGATCCTTCAACTTCCACACTCTCCTTCTGGAACATACACTTTCCTCCTTTCTTTGTACCTTTTAAGCAACATGTCACACTACAGTAAAAGTCTAAAAATCCGGACCACCCGAGAATCCGGACTTTTCGAAAACTAATTTTTTTTTTTTGCGGGTTTTTGTGTGTATGTGCGCATGCGTGAGCGCCACAGCTGCACAGCGACAACAAGCGACCACGTGGTTGCCACTTTAAAACGAGCAATCAAACTGTGACAACATACCGTATATACTCGTCTATAACCTCCCCTCGTTTATAGGTCGACCCTGAGTTTTTGACCAAGAAATCGTTAATTTATGATATTCCTCGTTTATAGTTCGACCCATGTTTTTGAGGGTAATGGAATAACAAAACCTTCAGTAAAAACGCTCTACGCCCTATAAACTGAGGCTCGCCGTGCCTGAAACACGAGTGCCGAAGGCAAATTGTTTACCATTTATTATTACGACATTTTACACTGAAACGTGGGTAGTTTCAACAAAAATATTGTATATTTCCATTCAAGTATTTATTCAAGTCAATTAGGAGGGAATATTATTGAAATACAACAGGTTTTTAACTAAACCATTCGAAAAGCGATTACGGTAACATCTTTTGAACGAAAGAAAGCGAAAGTCATTGTTTTCGTCACGATTTTATCCTGCTTTCCACTGTAATACGTACGTAATTTCAGCAAAAATATTTCATTTCCGTGAATGTATTATATCAAGCACAGTATGAATAGAATATCATTGTAATATAACAGAATTTTAACTGAAAACTATTAAAAAAACGAGTAACATCTCAAGAACATCGGAAGCTTAGGTAAAGTCTTTTGTTTTCTTCATGTATTTTATCCTATTTTACATTGAAATACATCACGTTTCAGCTAAACTACTACAGTATTTATTTCCGAGAATATATTCATTCAGGCGCAGTTTAGGTAAAACATACATGTGATGTAATCGTTTTTTTAACTGAGAACGATTCGAAAAACACTTACCCTCTAGCCCTGTTCAAGGAAAGGACTGGGAGAAGCTGTTTGGTGCTGCAGACGATGACAAGGAAAACGATTTTGATGGATTTTAATGAAAATATTCAGAAATATGGTATCGTATTATTTATTCAAGTCAATTAGGATATAATATTATCGTACTACAACAGTTTTTTAACTGAAAACTTTTCGAAAAGCGATTACGGTAACATCTTTTGAACGAAAGAAAGCGAAAGTCATTGTTTTCGTCACGATTTTATCCCACTTTCCACTGTAATACGTACGTCATTTCAGCAAAAATATTACATTTCCGTGAGTGCATTATATCAAGCACAGTATGAATAGAATACCATTGTAATATAACAATATATTGAGTCCTACTCTTTCCATTTACAGAGTACTGTACAAGCCCATAATAATGGCTCCTAAAGTAGATAAACTTCGTTGTGTGAAGAGAAAGAAGAACACGTTGAAATTGAGTGACAAACTTGAAATAATTAAGAAACTAGAACGTGGTGTGAGCAATACTGTTCTAATGGAAACATACGACATTGGAAAGTCTTCAATTTATGATATAAAAAAGGCAAAGAATAAAATTCTAGAATTCACAGCTTTTTCATTAAAAATTCTCGTTTTGATAAATGAAGCATGCTATATTTGCTAATGAATAAACTATCAAAATGTACTTGTTCATCTCTTCTTTATTCCTCCTGAAATTTGAATTTTAAAAGTACTGCCTGAGAATCCGGAAAATCCGAAAATCCGAACCGACCCAATGCCCAAGCAGTCCGGATTTTTGGACTTCTACTGTATAGCAGTCTGTGCTGCAAGGCACATTCTTCCCCTGATATGACATTTATATTCCTAACAAGCTTCCTATCTGATTTCCTTATGAGAAAATAATCAATCTGTGTTTTTATTCCACCAGAATCATACATAATCAGTCTTCTCACTCTCTTAAAAAATTGTTGCATTCAACCATACTCATTTTATCTCCAAACTCAAGCAGTCTTTCTCCTTCCACATTTCTTGCACCGTAGCCTCAGTGTGTTCACAGACATAACCGTTTAGGTTGCGATCCAGTAATACAAGTTCTTTCATCCAGCTCCATCACTACACACATCATCTCATCCTTCCTTAATTTCCTCATGAAGTCCAACTTGTGGAGCATAAGCAGATTTGACATTCATTAGATCCTTTTGTACAAACAGCCTCACAGCCATATGTCTCACATTTTAACACTTTCTCCACTCACTTTTCAGTGATCAAGGTCCTACACCACCTGTTCCAGATTCACTCCCCTACCAATATATCTTGTATTGATCATTCTTACTAGGGATCATCCTTGCTGAGACACCTTTCCACCTCCTCCTCAATGGGAGCCACCTTGCTGCTGTGGAGGGAGGGGGGTGCGAGTCACGATGAGCCGTACCAGAGAGGGGCTTGGCCGCTCTTCTTTCCCTCCTCGGAAGGAGAGGAAGGGTTTTCCAAACTGGGTGGGTCACCGGGGAGGATCATACATTCAGGATCCAGTGCATGCCCAGTACTTGCCAACAGTGCATAACAGAGACATGACCGACCGGTGAACAGAAATAAAGTCTCTGATATTTCACGTTAATTAACATGTCTCCTGTGAGCTATTGTGGTATGGCAAACTATTGCGGGCCTAGAAGCTGTTAGGTAGATGCATAACCCACTGCCTCTCAGATCACCCTGGGCTGTTAATCCAAGGTCGACTGGTGTGGTGAACTACCGGGTCTGGTTACCTATCGTGGTGCCAACTGTCCGGGTACTCTCGTGAAGGGTCAACTGTCATGACTGAACATAACATGTAGTTGGTATAACAAACGTATATATTATTTATTATAATAATTCTTTAATTATTTTTGTAAAGGAAAGTTAGTGGAAAATTAATATAACAGTAATTTACATATACGTAGATGATTTTATAGTATAAACTGCAATCAATATACATATTAGAAAAAAATATAAAATTTTGTGATAGAAAATCACAGGAGTACAACAGTGCGTTAAAGAAAAGGGATTGCAATTTCCTGACGGAGAGAGAGAGATAGAGAGAGAGAGAGAGAGAGAGAGAGAGAGAGAGAGAGAGAGAGAGAGAGAGAGAGAGAGAGAGAGAGAGAGAGAGAGAGAGAGAGAGAGAGAGAGAGAGAGAGAGAGAGAGAGTTGTTTCAATGGGTTTTTGGGTAATTGATTCACTTACTTTGAGGTGTGTATGTAGAAGGCTCCTGGATGATGATGATGTTGAGAATTAGAATGGGGGTGGAGGAGAAGGGAGAAGAGAAGGCAATGGGGTGGAAGAGAAGTCACCCCATGGTGCCATTTCACCCATAAAATTTTAGTTCTCTTGGTGTATTTCAACATTATTTTCTTTAAATCAACACTGCACTGCATTATATATTGCCAATATGTAAAATAAATTTCAAAATGACCAATAATTTGTTTGCAAACACAGAAAAAAAGCATTTAGTTGAAGAGAGTCTCAAGCAAGATGTTACCTCCACTGAAAAGACACAAAGACTGACGCCTGTATGGTGTGTTGAGAGGCTGGATGGCGCGCATAAAACTAGTTTCATAACCTTCAATTATGTTCAATAATTGTTAAAATGACAAAAAAAATTTATATTAAACTTTTAGAATTATTGAATAGTATAAACTTCTTGATATTTGCTAAAATGGTAAGGAATTTAAGCCCTAGAACCGATTACTGTATTGGCGGACTAATACTACAGCTGGTGGACCGCCAAATGCAAGTGAAAACATATTCAGGTTGGCTCGTAAGAAACTCATTAATCGAGGGATTGCTCGTTAACCGAAGTTAAGAATCTTATGGAAGGTAACTCGTTAACAGAAATCTCGTTAACCGAGGCGCTCGTTAACCGAGGGGCCACTGTACTTTTTTTTTTTTTCAAAGTGGCCTCCAGCTTCCCCCAATAACCACTCCTTCGCTGCCATTTTATTACCTTAAAATTAACTATCCTAATACATAAATAGCTACCCTAGCTGTGTTGAGTTAGTTGAACCGCAGATCTATGCGGCATTCAGTGACTGTTGCCTCAAAGTCGATATCTGCGACTGTTGTTGGCGTTGGGGCCGATGCTCTTGTTCCCCTGAGTCAGAGCAATGCAGACCTAAGCAGAAAGAAGGACAATCTACATCTCAACCAGGCTGTAACATAACTTCTGGGTTGTTGCTTGGTTCAGATAGCACCTCCGCGCGTCTGGCGTAGAAGTATCTTGCACTTGGTCTCATCCCACCAGATGTGAACACCAGAGGAGTGAAGCTGCCCTGATCGACATTCTGAATTCTCTCCCCATATGCCCTAATCTTGTCGTTCTCGTTCCACCTGTGTGCAGCACCGAGAGCTAGGTAGTGGTGACATGTGGCCATGGGGTAAAAAATCCTTATGTTGGAGAAGGTTCGCTGTCCCCGTGTCCAGAATCCTCGAGCACTGACATCCACATGAGCTTCGTTGGATGTGTTTGAAGT